GGGGCGCGGAGCCCAAGTCCAGGCTCCTCTGCGTGCCCTTGAGCAGTGAGTTTTTCTTGCTTCCGTTCTCTTGTCTGTAAGATGGGGATAATGCTGCTACCTGCCTTTATAGAACTACTGTGAGGGTTTCGTAAAATAATATTAACGAAGGGCTTAGGACAGCGAAAGTGGCCTATAAATGCTACCTCATATTCCTCTGATCGTCATGCAGTATGTGCTGGGAGGCACTGAGCCTGGACTGTCATCCTCCTCAGGTCAATTTGGAGTGGCCCTTGGAGTCAGTCTCCTACACCGTCCGAGGCCCCAGCCAGCATGAGTTGCAGCCTCCACCTGGAGGGCCTGGGACCCTCAGCCTGCACTTCCCTAATCCTCAGGAAGCTCAGCGGTGGGCAGCCCTGGTCCAAAGTGCCGCCGTGGAGGGACAGAATGGTCAGTGCCCTGGGGCGAAGATTGATTTGGTTGGCCAGGCATTGTGTTAGTGCTGGAAGAGAGCAGGAGTAGCCCTGGCCCCCCAGGCCTGGATGGGGGAAGTAGTGGGGAAATGTTGGGCCCACCTTACCCACTGCTGGGGTTCTGGGAAGGCTCCCAAGAAGGAGAAAGTGGAGAAAAGGAGTAGAGGCCAAAGAGCTGGAGCCTGGAGTATCAGACAAGTTTGGATGGGCAGAGCAAGCAGGCCCTCAGGACCTGGGTTCTGAGAGGACAAACTATCAAGTGCAATGGGAAGGTATTCAGTGGGAGAGTGTCAGGCTCAGATTTGAGCCACTTAAGACAGACCTGCATTCGTGTGGGGTGGTGCAGATACAGCTGGAGAGAAGGATGTTTCCAGAGATGCTTAGGAGATGGAATTTGCTGGATTTCATGGCTGTTTAAGTGGAAGAGTTAGTGGTTGAGACAAAGATGGAGGGACCAGATACTGTGGGGCTCCCAGATAGAGGGCCTGTTGGGGAGGGCATGGAGGTGGCCAAGTTCTTTGAAAGCATTTTTTTTTTAATTTTTATTTATTTTTTGTGAGGAAGATCAGCCCTGAGCTAACATGCATGCCAATCCTCCTCTTTTTGCTGAGGAAGACCAGCTCTGAGCTAACATCTATTGCCAATCCTCCTCCTTTTTCTCCCCAAAGCCCCAGTGGATAGTTGTGTGTCATAGTTGCACATCCTTCTAGTTGCTGTATGTGGGATGCCACCTCAGCATGGCCGGACAAGTGTGTTGGTGCACGCCCGGGATCCGGACCTGGGCTGCCAGTAGCGGAGCGCGTGCACTTAACCACTAAGCCGCGGGGCCGGCCCCTGGCCAAGTTCTTACACATCTAGGAGGCAGGGGATGGATGGATCTCGGGGGGAGCTGGGGTTCTGGAAAGACTGGAGGTATAAAAGGTCAACCGAGGTCACCAGGAAGCAACAGAAGCAAGAAGAGAAGAGAGCCCCAAACAGGCAGGCAGACAGGGCCCCAGGAAAGGATGGAGCCCCAGATGTACCAGAAGAGCTGCCAGAGGGGCAGGAAGAAAACCATTCAATGTGATCTAAGAGAGGCCCAGACAATATAGCATTTGCAGAGGGAGAAAGGCTTTTTTTAATTCATTCATTCATTTATCCATTCACCAGGTGTGTATTTAGCACCTGCTCTAAGCACCCCTTTAGGCTTTGGAGATTTAGCATGCATGAAACTTCAAATCCTTGTCCTCTTGGAGTTTGAGTTTCTAGAGAGGAGGCAGACTTGAAAAATAAACAAACTTCTGTCAGATGGTGGAGGCGATGGGAGTGCTGGAAGGGAGGGGTTTGCAATTTAAAATAGAGTGGCAAGGGGCTGGCCCGGTGCTGTAGTGGTTAAGTTCCTGCCCTCCACTTCAGCAGCCCGGGGTTTGCAGGTTCAGATCCCAAGCGTGGACCTGCGCACCGTTTATCAAGCCGTGCTGTCGCAGATGTCCTACATATAAAAGTAGAGGAGGATGGGCATGGATGTTAGCCCAGGGCCGATCTTCCTCAGCAAAAAGAGAAGGATTGGCAACAGATGTTAGCTCAGGGCTAATAATCTTCCTCACCAAAAAAGTAAATAAATAAAAATTATTAAAATAGGGTGGCAGGAAAGGCCTCGTGAAGGTGACACGAGTGCAATTTGAAGATTGTGGCGCGATGTGGCCAGGGGACAGCAGGTACAAAAGCTCTGAGGCGGGAGTGTTCAAACATGTTCTTTCGGACTCAGCCAAGGCCAGGCCGGGCCTGGTGCTGGGTGCTCGGGAGCTCTGCTAATTTCAGTGGGCAGGCAGCTCGGAACACCGAGGGCCTGAGGCCATCACAAGAGCTGCGTCAGCACTGGGTGGACTGGGCCTCAAGTAGGAGGTAAGAAGGGGAGACAGCAGTGCACCCAGCTGTGTAAGGACACCCAGGACAGGCAGTGGCCCAAAGGTTTGTTTTGATTGGGAGCAGCCTGAGCTGTTCTGGTTGATGGTGGAGACAGGAGAAGGGAGGAGGTCCCTGAGGGAACCAAGAGGCAGCCACCCTGACTACAGGCTCCCAATGAGTAGGAAGGGGCAGGCTCCTGAGGACCTGCACTGGTTCTGCTGTGAGGCCAAAGGAGCATCCCTGGCTGGCTGAGAGGACCTGTGGAAGCCAAGAGAAGTGGCCTGGCCTCTGTGGAGGAGGGGCACAGGTGGGACTGGACCAGAGAAGGGTCCAGAAGGATTCCAGAGCCCAAGGACCAGCCAAGTGCAGCTCCAGCTCCGAGAGGAGTCAGCAGTGACCTCTGAGGGGTTTGCAAGGGCCAAGGCTGGGGGGAAAGGCCTGGTTTGAAGTGTGGCCAAGGCAGGGCCCTGGCATGGGTTGAGATGAGGAGGAAGGAGGTAAAGGTCCTGGGAACCTGAGGTCAGAGAGCGGAGCCCTGGGTGAGTACTTGGCCGGGGGGCTGGATCTTGGGAGACCACCAGACCACCCCGTCTTCCCTCCTAGGCAGTTACAGCCTGCCGCCAGCCCTGGGCCCAGAAACGTGCCCTGTTTCTCCACCTAGTCCCCCTCCACCCAGTCCCCCTGAAGTGCCCACAGCCAAGGTCCCCCAATCCAAGGTGGATCTGCCCTGGAGCCCTGGAGCCTTGATGGAGAAAGGTAAAGGCAGGTGGCTGCAAGGGGTTGGGTAAAGCAGCCTGTTCCCGGCTGTGATGACTCTCTCTCTCTCTGTCCCTGCAGAAGAGCTGGTGGGGCGCCTGGCCCGGGCCATCGAGGGTGGGGATAAGAAGGGGGCAGCCCAAGCAGCAGCCATCCTGGCCCAGCATCACGTGGCCCTCAGCGTCCAACTCCAGGAGGCCTGCTTCCCTCCTGGCCCCATCAGGTGAGGCCTGGGACTTCTTCCTCCCCCTGCCCTCTCAACTCTCCCAGGCTCCCCATCCTTTCCCTAACCAACATTTCTGCCAGGCTACAGGTCACAGTTGAAGATGCTGCGTCCTCTGCTCACGTGTCCCTGCAGGTGCACCCCCACTGCACCATCGCAGCCCTCCAGGAGCAGGTGAGAACGGGGTCTTGGGAGCCCTGCTGGAGGTGAGTGGGCTCTGAGTGACACTGCCTGGCCCTGATGGTCTGGCCCCAGGTGTTCTCGGAGTTTGGCTTCCCGCCAGCTGTGCAGCGCTGGGTCATTGGGCGGTGTCTGTGTGCGCCCGAGTGCAGCCTCGCTTCCTATGGGATCCAGCAGGACGGGGACCCTGCTTTCCTCTACCTGCTTTCAGCCCCTCGAGAATCCCCAGGTCAGTCCTCGATTGGGGTGGGGTGAGGAAGGTGGGGTGCAGCCTGACATGGCCCTGAGCCCCACCCTATCTACTGCAGGTTGCAGCCCTCAGCAGCCCCAGAAGTTGGATGGAGAACTAGGCCGCCTGTTTCCTCAGTCATTGGGGCTGCCTCGAGCCCCTCAGCCAGCCAGCTCCAGCCTCCCCAGCCCCCTTCAGGTGCGCAAGGGATTGGGCAGGGCGAGCCTGGGCCACTGTGGGCATTGGAAGGAAGGGTGAGCAGCAGCTATCTCCCTGCCTCCCCAGCCCGGCTGGTCCTGCCCTTCCTGCACCTTCATCAATGCCCCAAGCAGACCTGGCTGTGAGATGTGTAGCACCCATAGGCCCTGCGCTTGGGACCCCCTTCCCGCAGCCTCCACCCAGCAGCCACCAAAGGTACCAGAGGCAGAGCCAGGGGAGGGGACGGGGCAGGGCAGCGAACAAGCTGAATTGACTCATCTTCCCCCTGCCCCCAGGTCACGAGGAGAGAGGACGGCCCTTCCCTTCCAGGCCCGAGGTCCCTGGATCCCCTCCTGAACCTCTCGGGGGACCGCTGCTGACTGCTCACTTGGGACAGAGCCAGGGTTGGGGAAGGGACCATCAGGCAGAGTCATTAAAGACACTTCTGAGCCAGCCAGATTGCTGCTTCACTGTGCCTTTGTGCAAACTGGGCTCCTCGGAGGATGGAGAGCAGGGCATAACCCACTCAAGATGAAACTTGGCAGAGGCAGGGCCTGGCCCTCATCAGCAGGAGGGGCTTCCTAGCCAGACCCAGGGGGCTGCTGAAGAATGTATTTGGGCTCCAAGTCCCAGGGGTTCTAGGAGCATGGCACCAAGATCTCTTCCCAGACCCCAAGGGCTTGCAAAGCCTGGCTGCTGACCACTGGGCTGGGGCCCTCCGTGATTCCCCCACCCAGCTGACTGTGCCTCCTATAGTCCATCTAGAGCTCCACAGGCACACACCTTCCCTAGGCTCTGCCCCTTCCCTTCCCTTCTTGGGACAAGAAAGGCCCACAAGCCAGAACCCTGTGCTACTGCTAAGACAACACCTTGCCCTCCTGCCACTGACAGATCCACTGCTGCGTGAACCCAGCCACCCCCAGCTGCCTTGTAGATTGCTAGGAATGCCATCTCATGACAAACAACCCACCTGACACCTCTCCACTCTGCCCCCTCCAGTGTGACTGTTATCAGTGGATAGAACCTCCAGCTGTCCAGGCAAGAGATCAGGAGTACATTCTAGGTGGTCTCTGCCTTATCTCTGTTCCTCCACAGGCTGGGAGCTGTCTCCCCGCTCTCCCAGCCACCGCCCAGCCCCGCCTCCTAACCCCAGAAACATCTTCTGCAGCTCCTACTTTAAGCCAGTGTTGACATGCCACCAGGGATCCTTGCTGCCTTCAGAATGAAGGCCAAGTGGTTCCATAAACTGACACTTGGCTGGCTACTCCAGCAGGTCCTTGGGCCCCTGGACCAGCTGGGTCAGGCCCTTTTCACCTCTATGAACAGACACTCCCCACCCTGATGAATACTGTCACCTCCTCTAACAGCCAGTTCTTTGTTCCTGCCCCACATTTCAGTACTGACTGGACTCCCAGCCACCAGTCAGTGCAGGGCTACATTGGCCACACTACATGGACATCCCTGGGAGCCCTGAGGGCAAGGGCCTTAGTCCCAGCGTCCCCTGCAAACCTGCACTCCCATCATACAATAATTCAAAAGTGTGTGTTGAGAAACTTAATTTATTTCCATGATGGGAAGTGAAGGATCTGGAGCTAGAGCCCGGCCTCCTGCCTCCTCCCCTCTTGTCCTAGAGGAAGAGGAGCTTGGCTGAGAGGGCCAGCTGAGGCCCGAATAGGCCCAGGGTAGCTCCTTGGCTTGAGGGCCCATTCAGGCAGGGGGGCAAGCAGACAACGGGCATGGTCACTTGGGCGGCCGATATGCCAGCTTCCGGCTCTTCAGGACTGACCACTTATGCCGCTTCATGGCGTAGACCAGGGGCAACAGCAAGCCCATCATCATCATCATCTGGGGATGAGGCAAGCTCAGAGGTGAGAGGCAGAAAGGATCCCCGCCCACCTCCCAGCCCCTCTACCACGCCCACTGTGCCCCTTGCCCTAACCCTTTCACCTTTAGCCCCATGCGTTTGCGATGGTCGTGCTCTGGCTCAGATGCCCAGCGCAGGAAGGTACACACGTCCTTGGCTACCTGAGACATGGTAGCTGGGGTGCCTGGGCCAAGGACAAGTGGTAAGGGCTGCCCCTGGGGGCCCCTGCTCAAGCTGGGGTAGCCCACAGAACACCCCCTTCCATGGAGCAGAGATGGGGTCCTGCTCAAGGCTTCAAAAGGGATGGGACATCCCCCCACCCCCAAGCCCAGCACACACACAGGAGTCTAAGCTAGATGGGGATGTGAAGGCTGCCCGTGAGCCTCCTCAGATACGTGCAGACACTACGCCAGCCTAGGAGGGTGCAGGACCTCTTGGGCATGAGAACACAGGGGAAGCATCCCAGGCAGTGGGGAAAGTAGGACCCAGCTTGCCCACCCCCAGGGTGGGGGGCTCTCACCATCATCAAACTCTAAGACCTCGTTGTAGATGGGAGGGGCCATGGCAATGGCTTGGCCAGGGAAGTAGGGGTTGAAGTGGAGGCCTTCTCGCAGTGACACCCCAGTGGGTGGCTCACAGTAGCCCGTGAGCAGGGAGAAGACGTAGTCCTCACCACTGTGCCTGGGACCAGATCCATGCCTCCTTAGCCCCTGGCAGGAGGCAGACCTTCCTCCCCCTCCCCACACTCCCCTACAGGCAGTCCATGTACCTAGCTCTGATGATGTAGCTGAGGTCAGGGGGCAGTGCTCCATTGTTGGCTGCTCTAGCAGCCTCAGGGTTGGGGTAGGGTTTTGGGAAGTAGTCAGACAGCTTCCCTGGCCGCATGAACATCTCCCCATCCTCATTGGGGCCGTCCTGAACCTCCACCTGCCACCAAGAGCACCATCACAACCCTGCTGTCCACCATAGCGAGGGCCCCAATCCCTGGGTGCTCAACATCCCTGGGCCCCGCACCTCCTCCGCCAGCGCCTTAGCTTCATCCTCTGTGTAGCATACGCCCACCAGGTGGCGGTAAGCCAGGTAGTCCATGCTGTGGCAGGAGGAGCACACCTGCTTATATACCTGGAAACCCCTCCGGATGCTAAAGAGAGGGAAAGGGTTAGAGATACAGGGGATTCCACCCTACCCAGTCTACCCCAAAACTCCCCTAGCCAGCCAGCCGCACACCTGGTGTGATCCAGGGATGAGAGGAGGCCACGGTGGGACCACGGATAGCTGGGGGGGTGCAGCTCCAGGTCACTGGCACTCACGGCAGAATGCAGAGCCACAGCCAGCCCTGCACCCCCTGCCGCCAGCATGCCCAGCGCTGAGAGCATCACTTTCCGGCCCCGGGACAGGCCGGACTTCGACGACAAGGACACTGCCTGCAAGAGCCCCGCTCAGCGCCTGCCAGAACACGGCCCAGCCCTACCTGGGGATCTGACTCTCGGCGCCTACCTCTCCCACTCATCCACCCAGCACTGGCCACCTCCTCCGGGCGCCAACAGCACACCTTGCGCCACTGCCCGCCCCACTCCTCCCCGCTGCTGACCCCCGACCGTGATTCGGCCCTGAGGAGGGGTGTGAGACGTGTTCTTGGGTCCTGGGCCGGGGAGCAGGCCGAAGTGAGCAAGAGTGCTGGGGCAGGCCAAGGTCACAAGCAGCTGGCCGAGGTCAGGCTGAGGTCACTTCAGGACGCGGGCCCGGTCTGGAAGGCGGGGCAGGAGCCGGCCTGGGCGCGCCCCAGGGAAGCCCCAAGCGCCGACCCGGTCGCGAGCCCCCCGCCGCCCCCACGCCCGGCACCAGGCGCCCC